TCACACAGTGCAGGTCCTCGTGCGGTGGGTGCAGCCGCCGCCAAAGCAACCTGTTTTTAATAACTGCACAGCCGAGCAAATCTCCAGTAGTCAATCAGAAGCCCCACCTGGCCCCGCCCACTTCCTGAAAAAACTTGGCGGGCACCAGGAGAGGTGTTGGCAGCTGCCATGGCTTCGGCCTGTACAGATGATGATGGTAAAGCGGTGAGTCGGATGCGCTATGCACAAGAATCAGTTCCCGCCGCCGCCATCCTGAATGCCAATTGAGTCCCCTAATCAAAGCAAACGCTTGGCGTGGAGACCAGAGACAATCTTGACGGGTGGCGGCATTTCTCGGAGACAAACATGTGCTTTCTTCCACCTCTTTAATTTCCATTTTTTTTCCCCCAGGAGTGAAAATGTGTGGGGGGGGGAAGGGAAACCTTACCTACTAAGTGTCGCTATGTTCTTCCCCCTTGCGAAATCCAAACCATCTTGGTGAAAATTACAACCCAATTAAGGAAACCTGAGCCATATGACACAATAATTTCCAAGACTGGAGCAAGAAAGGAAAAGTCACACCTTCTTAATCACCTGGTTGTTCAAGACGACATTGCTCTTAATTTGTGGAATAAGCTGTTTGCTGGTCCCCAAAGCTTGCATGCTCAATTAAAATAAAAGTCAGTCACTTCTTCTTCTTCTTTTTTTTTTTTTGTAATATAGTCACTGGGAGATAACATTCCCATGCACGCATTTATTAGCTAGTTTCAAGATCTAAGCATTTAAATTGGACAGCTTCCTGACTAATTGTTTCTCACTTGCGACAAGTAAACAACAGATTGCCCAACACCTTGTCCCTTTGGCATAGAACGACTGGCTTAAAATATCTCCTTCCCCTCCTTTGTCATTGTCGGAATTTGTGGTGGGGGGAAAATTTTGTTGTAGTTTTTTTTTAAAAAACCCTCTTAATTGTTTTCTGTTTTGTCTCCTAGGATGGTGGTTGTTACGGAGATCTGTTCTGTAAAGCTCTGAAAACCTACAATATGCTTTGCTTTGGAATATACCGATTGAGAGATTTCCATCAAAATAGCACTAGCCAATGCACCAAGCGGTACGTGTCACACTTTGTTGTCTTGACCAGTCCTTTGGTGATGGTTTCCTAGCATCTTGGAACAAAGCCCATCGTTTGAAGGGGTTTGATCTGCAGAGATAACGATTCATCAGAGAGTGCTGTGTAGCAAGCATACGTTGTGAGCAGAGGTGCAAAGATGATAGCAAAATTTTAGAGGAGTGAAAAGTACTGAGACTTACTAGTGATTTCAGCTCTCATACTTTATTTCAGCTCAGAACAAGACGAGGATTGGCTACATTAGCAGAGGAGTTCCTGCTACAAAAAGAGCCCTGGATGGATGGATGGATGGATGGATGGATGCATAGATGATAGATAGATTGGATGGATGGATGGATGGATGGATGGATGGATGGATGGATGGATGGATGGAGGCTAGGATCCGCTTGTCCCATTGTTACTGAGAGCAAAGCTCGGTCGCTTTGCCTGACCACGTGGCAAAATGGCCACGTACGTGGTCTGAGATGGATACATTACAAGGAGCCTGCAGACGTTTCTAAGAACAAAACCGGAACGTCTCCTCCTTCTATATTAGCTGCACATTGTTTATTTTAAAACCCCACCAGTTCGCACAGTTCAACTCCATTATCGAAGTGCAGTTTTGGTAGAACTTTAAGAACAGAAAGACGTGTCTAAAAGTTGTTCCATCAGCTCTACTATGGCCCCGGTCACATGGAGAATTTGCTGCGCGAAAGGCACGAATGCTGGGCAGATGTTTTGGGCGCGATCACACCGCAACATCTGGGAAGCATAGCGCACCTGTGGCGTGCCGCCGAAGATGCGCAGTTAAAAAATACCTGCAAAGATCTACTAGCAAATGGTTTGCCACGGGCTGCAGACGGACTCGTTCGGTGTGATTGCGTCGGCGCGCGCCTATTCCCTCCAGCCGTCCTCTTTGCGGTGCGCGCCGAAGGATGAAACCCCGGTGCACCGCCATCGCATCTGATCGCATAATGGTGGATCAGAATGCAACGGCGCAAATAGCCACACCTCCCCCCCTGCGTTTTCTGGGCCTATATTTGAGCAAGTCTAGAAGGGTCCATGAAGGAAAACCATTCAGAAGAGGGAACAGAGATTCAGGTCGGTCGCCATGTAGGTCTGAAGCAACCGAACGAGGTTTGAGTCTGGTGGCACCTTTAAGATCAGCAAAGACCCGGAAATAAAACTTTTTTGGTCTTAAAGGTGCCCCACTGGACTTTGTTCAGAAGTGGGAACAGTTAGATTTCAGTAGCACCTTAGAGACCAACAAGAGGGGAGTGGAAGAACAAACAGAGGTCCAGTCCAGGAACATCCCCATCAGGTGTGTGTCTGCCAAAATCTGTACCTCTCCACTGGACAGCCCATACCTACTTCTCTAAACTTCGAGAGCTTAAATGGCAAACTACCGCAAAGCATACAACATCCACAAAAAAGCTGGATGAATTTGGTCATTAAAATATCACAATCGAACCAAAAGAAGTCCACAAAAAATTTCTCTCCCTTCTCTCTTTTCTGGGACATTTTATTAGTCAAACTGTTGGGAAGGAAGGAGGATAAAAGGGTACTCTGCGGCTGTTACATCCAACTCGGTGTTATTGGATATTTTTTATTGCTTCAGCACCGGTTGTCTTATTTTACTTGCACCCTGGCGTACACCACCCAGGACAGTGTATCTCAGTAGTCACCAACCTTTTCGAGCCTGTGGCCACCTTTGGAATTCTGGCACTGTGTGGCGGGCACAGATACAAAATGGCTGCCGCAGGACACAGGGCCAGCCACAGAATGGCTGCTCCAACTTACCCTCAATCACACAGTGAGGATACTTCAATGACACAGTGAAGACACTTCAGTGACAATGTTTTTTAGAAATCTGTGCAGCCAATCAAATCTCCATTGGCCAATGACAAGCCTTGTTGGGCAAAAGACCCACCTGGCCCCACCCACTTCCTAGAAGCACTTGGCGGGCACTCCCCGATACAGCTAGTCTGTGAAACCGCCGCAGTTCTCAGGTGATCCAGTGAGGTGAGGCAAGGAGGATGCAGCTCAGGGGAGGATTCAGAGAGATCCGGGCCCTGCGGGATCTAATGCAGTTCTGCAGGGCCTGCAAGACGGAGCTCTTCCACCAGGCTTTCAAGTAGGGGCCGCCCCCCCCGCTATATTGTTATCATGGGGGGGTGGAAGAGGCCCTAGGAAGGAACATCTGAACTTCTTAACATCTGAGTATTGAAGCCACTGAATGTCTACCGGGAACTTCAGGATATGGTCCGTCATCTTTCTGGGTTTTTGGAATTGAAGATCATTGAGCACTTTATTTGTATTGGGATTGGTTTTAAACTGTATAGTATGCTTTTAAATGTATAGGAATATTATGTTTTTATTGTTGCAAGATTTCTTGCCTTGTAAGCCGCCTTGAGCCCTACGGGGGAGGGCGGGGTATAAATTTGATTAATAAATAATAAATAAAGAGAGGAGCATGGATGGGAAAATGAAAGGAAGAGCAGGAGAGGCTGAAGAAAAGACGAGCAGACAAGAGAAATGGCTCAAACAAGGTCAAGAGTAAGAGTCAAACTCAGTAAGTGGACCTTCACTGTGCATCATGAAGGGCCACTCGCTGCGTCTGAAGAAGAGTTAAGTGTAAATTATTAGATATTTGTTTTCTTTGGTATAACTATTTTGAAGAATATTTAGTAAAGCCACTTCTGGTGAGAAGGGTATGTCTCTCCCTGTAATCTCTTTTAGTATTTTAAATATTTTAATCCAATAGTTTTGATTTTTTTCCACATCTCCACCATACATGTATAAATGTACCAACTAATTCAAAACGATTTTTAATCCAGTGTGGTCAGACAGACAGACAGACTGGCGTATATGGCATTTCCATCTGCACAGGTGAAGGGTCGTTTTTTGGGCATACCAGCAAGTCAATGTCGCTGCGACTACCCACCAGCAACTATAAACTCACTTGCACATATATTTTTCTGTTGCCCAAAACATGCAATTGCGAGAGAAAAGTTCCTGAGGAAATAGTTATTAAAATCTTCTTCCTTTTCAGAATCTACAAGGTTGAGACTTTTGCTGAGTACTCTGTGTCATAATTGTATAATAGATGTGGCACATTTCTGTTATACTGTCTTTTTAAATGTCGATTTTTTTTAAAAAAAGGTTAGATTAATTTTTATGGTGCACGGCCTATGGGCTTTTAAACCTAATAAACTGAACTGAACTGATATACGGAATATGCAAAGGACTTTCGGAGAAAATAGACTCGTGTTCCAAATGAGGTTGGAATATAGCGACTTTTCAGAGACCTGCTAGAGTACGGCTGTATTGACCGAGGCCCACGTTGTGCAAACTGCCATAAAGGTTGCTGGACCTTGTACCCACCTGGCAGATCGTCCAGGTGGATCAGGTCCCCCTCCGGTGCTGCCGCAGAGGGTTGACAGAGACGTTTTTCCAGCAGCACTAAAAACACCCCTGTGTGGTGTCTATAAGTTTCGAACCTGACCTTCCTTCCAGTGTCTTTGAAAAAGTGTGCGTGCATACTTTGAATAAAACTTTGTTGGTCTTAGAGGTGCCCCACTGGACTCTCGATTTGTTCTACTGCTTCAGACCAACAGGGCTGACCACGCAGGGGTGTTTTTAGTGCTGCTGGAAAACGTCTCTGTCAACCATCTGCCGGCAGCACCAGAGGGGGACCTGATGTGTAACAGGATGGAGATGTTTTAAGATTTGCAAGAGAAAACGAAATAATAAGCTAAGGTTGGTGACGTAGTTAAGTGCGCGGACTCTAATCTGGGAGAACCAGGTTTGATTCCCCAGTCCTCCACTTGCAGCTGCTGGTGTGACCTTGGGTCAGTCACAAGCTCTGGCACAGCTGAGAGCTCATCTCCGTTTCAAAGCTGAAGAGCCAGCGCTGTCCGTAGACGTTTTCCGTGGTCATGTGGCCAGCATGACTCAACACCGAGGTGCACGGAACGCTGTTACCTTCCCACCGAAGTGGTACCTATTTATCTACTTGCAATTTCTTGCTTTCGAACTGCTAGGTTGGCAGGAGCTGGAACTAGAGATGGGAGCTCATTCCATCATGCGGCACCCGGGTCTCGAACTGCTGAACTACCGACCTTCCACAGCCTGCAGTTCAGCGTCTTAACCACTTGAGCCACCACAGCTCCTGAATGTAAATGAGCAAGCCTATAATAATGTGAATACCAAGCTCAGAAGCCAGGCAGGAGGGGAAGTAACGCCCACTCTTCTCTGTTTCTCTTTCAGTTTTGTTATAGCCAACCCACCTTACGAATTCGAACTTGTGCCGACGGATTTGATCTTCTGTCTGATGCAGTTCGACCACAATGCTGGCCAGTCCCGGGCCAGCCTCTCCCACTCGTCCCATTCTTCCTACGCTTCCAGCAAGAAGAGCGCGTCGATCCACTCCATCCCCTCCACCACAAACCGACAGAACCGTGCAAAGACCAGGGAATCTCGGGAAAAGCAGAAGTACGTGCAGGAAGATAGACTTTGATACATGTACCCACCTCCCACCGTGTGTGCAGCTGTATCCACCACCCGTACCCTCCCGATTGGTGTGTCCAACAGTAGTTCTCCCCGTTCTCCCCTCCACCCGCCCCGCCTTCCACCCCCATGGAACTCCCATTTTTATACACATATTTTGCATATGTATAACAGTGTGCATGTGATTGTCATTTTTATTTCAATACCATAAAACCCTTAAAAACAACAGCAACAAAGCAGACGGACCAAAAAAAAAAGTTATTTATGGTGCAGAACAGGTGGGGAACAGCTAAGAGCAGATGTGACTCAACACTGCCGTAACGAACTACCTTGTATATCAGTGGTCAGAGAATGTGCAGCATGAATATTATCAGTTTGTGGTGGTGTCAGTTTAGAGGAAGACAGTTATGGAGCACAAGGGTGTTGTTGTTAAAGGGATGCAAACGTTAACATTTGCACAGATAAAGTTCAGGGTCCCACTCCCCATGGGCCAGCTTTCTAAGCATCAGGGAGGCTTTTCACACCTGGGTCAAAAACAACACAAATCTTGAACTTTCTGTATACGAAGGTCATAGAATCATAGAGTTGGAAGG